CTATCGCACACAACGCTTTTACTAATCGCACGCAGAGTTGCACCGAGTGAGTTGAAGCTTGAGAGGACTTTGATGGACTTTTCGAAGATATTCCATTGTTTAGATCATCGGATACTCTTCTTCATACTCTAGTAGTGCGGGATTGGGAACCGTCTTCAAAATACACTGCCAACTTTCATCTGTAACGGCTCTTAGGGCTCAGAGTTTAGAGCTCTTTTTCTGACGTGGCGTGCCGCAAGTCTCAATTTTAGGTCCACGTAGGTTTTTAGTGTTTAGTACTGACCTCGCACAGGTAGTCGCTTCAAATTTTCTACTGTTTGACATGAAGATTTGGCGCAGGATTCAGGTAAATACCGACAAGCATCTGCTTCAGAATGACCTAGACACGGTACATCAATGGTCAACCCAAAATTTACTTTATTTTAACGTGAGTACATGCAAGGTGCCACCCATAAACATCAGCGAAACTACTCCTACAAGCTTGAAACGCATGTACCTCAACAATTGTTCCTCGAACGAGATCTGTGCATGCCGGTTCATAAGGACTTAAGTTGCTACAGCTGATCTGAAAAGGCCGCGAAATGTGGTAATCAACATGTCGGGCTATTGCGAATGGCATTCGGACAAATTGACATCATTATTTTCGACAAATGTTCAGTGCGTGCTTTCGCCCCCATTGTCGAATACGCCATTCAAGCCTGGCACCCATAGCTGAAACATGTCCTTAATACACTGCAGCAGCCTCAACGTCGAGCATCCAAGTACGTCATTGGAGTGCGCAGTCCTTCATACGATCAGAGACTAAAATGACTGCAGTTATTCAGCGGACGATATCGCAGATTACTACGCGATCTGATTATGGCCTACTTGATTCTGAACGACTCGCATCATGCGTGCCGCTCCTTGCTGTAACTCAGCAACAATACAAACGTGAGAGGTTACTCATTGAAACTCACAGAACAGTACCGCCCTCTGGAGTCCTCAGAAACTACTTTTCCGTTCCGATCATTTTGGTCAACATGCGTCGATACTGATCATGCACTGGTGTGTGCGACCATGTACATGCCTTTCGGTGGTTCGCCTAGGTCAAAACACACCCGACTGAACACCTACAAGTTGGAGGACCCAATAGTAAAGAAAGAGTATCAACAAAGGCTTCGCAAAAATCTCGCTCTCTCTCACACTCTGGATGTTGATCAACACTGGTCAAGTCTGAAACAAGCCTTGCTGTCGGCCGGTTTGTCAGGCTGTAGCCCCGCTCGCTCCACTCCCAAAAGCTGGATCTCGGGAAGATCCTCGGAATTGCTGGATCGCGGACGGGCGGTGCCTGCTGGCCCAGAGTACAACGAACACCGCCGTGCTACTACGCAACAGCTGAAAGCAAGCCTTAGCTCTGAACGTGAATCATGATGGTCAAAACAAGCTGATGAGATGGAAGCCGCTGCATCGGCTGGCAACTTCCGCCATCTATTTGACATCATCAGGGCCACTGGTTGCAATTTCCACGCAGTCAGACAGACGATTTGCAAATCAGACGGCACGAAGATCACCAACCTTCACAAGCGATTAGGTCGCTGGGCAGAGCATTTCGCTCTTCAATTCAACCACCCAACGCAGCCCCATGTGACACCTCCAGCCCCAATGTATGACGCTTGGCCTGTCTCCACAGCCCCCCCAAAAAAATGAAGCAGAGATCCGTAATGCAATACAATCTTTGAAACGCCACAAGGCTCCTGGTTCCGACAGCCTACCACCGGCTCTATTCAAAGATGGCGGGAGTGCACTTGTCAGCGAAATCCTATCGCTATTCACGAAATTTTGGACTGAGGAGAATGTTCCGAACGCATGGGGAGAATCGGTCATTGTTCCGATTCCCAAGCAAGGCTCCCGCTCCGATTGCTGCAACTACCGTGGAATCTCGTTAATCTCTGTCGCATCCAAAATTATCGTGTCTGATCTACTTAGCAGGCTTTCAAAGACTAGAGAGGAGATTTCCCTAAAAGAACAAGCCGGATCTCGTCAAGGCCGCAGCTGCCTCGACCAAATCTTCACGCTTCGGCAAGTTCTCGAAATTCGTCACATCCACCGGCGACCAACAATCGTAATAATTTTGGACGTCTGAGCGGCATTTGATTCAGTAGATAGATCTGCGTTGTGGAACTGTTTACTGAAGAATGGTGTGCCAGATAAGTTTGTAACCAGCCTGAAAGAACTTTACAGTCACACGTCGGGCAAAGTTAGGGCTTATGGCACGCACTCCTCTTCATTTGCTGTGGCCAGCGGTGTTCACCAAGGTTGCTCTATTTCACCTTTCCTCTTCAAGTTCGCCATCGAAGAGGTTCTCTAAAGAGCACTGGAAGGTGTCTAGGACTGCGGTGTTGAGCTCCTCCCTGGAGACGGTGTCACGGACTTGGACTACGCCGAGGATATCGCCTTGCTGGGGGACGACCCATAAACTGTCCAGAGAGCTTTGGGCCGCTTGGCGATGGAGTCGTCTAAGTACGGCTTGTGCTTCACTCCGAGCAAATGTAAAATGCTGCTGCAAGAATGGCAGGTGTCTAAACCCGCGCTTACCATTGCTGGACATGTTCTGCAGCAAGTCCCTTGCTTCACTTATCTAGGGAGTTGCATCACGGTTGGTGGCGGTGTTTGAGATGAAGTCCCACAACGGATTGCAAAGGCCCGCCTTGCATTCATCAAACTGAGATACCTATGGAGTCGTCAGGATGTCAGTCTCAAGCTCAAGGGCAAGGTGTAAAATGATTCCGTCCGTGCAGTACTCTTGTACGGCTGTGAGAGTTGGCCTATTCGCTCGGGAGATATGAAGCGGCTATCAGTCTTCGACAATCGTTGTCTATGAAGGATTGCTCGGGGTGGTGGAAACACCACGTAAGCAACGCAGAGGTGCGGGACCGCGTGTTTGGAGCGAATAGTGCCAGTCTTCAGGATGTTATAATCCGACATCGCATAGGTTGGCTCGGGCACGTTCTGCGCATGCCAGCCCATCGCCTTCCACGTCGAGCACTATTTGCACTACCAGGAAGCGATTGGAAAAGGTGCCGCGGTGGACAGCCAATGACGTGTCGAAGGATCATGAAGAAAGCAACTTCAAGTTTGGCGGCAGTCGGACCAGTCCGTCTTCCAGGTTTGGGACCAGGAGATGCTGAATCTCAGTGGTTGGAAACAGTGGACGTCATGGCCTGAAACAGACATCAGTGGCGTCAATGTTGTTCTGCCATTATACCATCCCTTTGATGCGCACGAAAACTCACAAAACAAAACAAAATATACAAAAGGGCGTGTATAAAACCAAAAATAATCGTTTCATTACATTTTTTAATCGTTCATGTTCACATCTTGTTTACTTTTTTCTTCTGCCATGGTTCTGATGGCACAATGTCTGTTAACAGACCGTGAATATATATATATATATATATATATATATATATATATATATATATCGGTGGAATGCTCTCCCTGAATCCGTCGTCTCTGCACCGACACTACCAACATTCAAAAGACGGTTGGATGATGCACGCATCCAATTTCACTTTGTTACTTGGGTCTATGTCTCCATTCTACTCCTGGAATATACCTTGAATTTACTTGCTGTTAACTGTGGGTGCTGTGAAACTACGCGGATTGCAGGACTACAGCGGATCGAACGATAATCCTGCCTTTCAAACTACTAACAGTTTTATTAGTATTATTTCGATAGTTCCACCAAACTCAGCAACAGGACTTGTAAAACTGTGCTTTTTACACCGTATAAATTCATTGTTCATTCTCGTCCTCAAATCACCACTATTTCTTTGAACTAAGCAGTCCAGAACTTGAAGTTTACCATCACTAGGCTCCAACTTGGATTGCATACTGATTCTTCTGGGCTGGCGCAGCTTATTTTATCAAAGTGAAACGCTGACAGGCAACTACGCTAACCGATTGTCCTCAATCGTATCTGAACACAGTTGGGGCTTCATTTTTGAGAACAATCCTCGTACTTTGGTAAACGTAGTCTGTTGAAAGTAAGCGAATGCAAGCAAACGTTGGTCACCACGCAGAGAACTATGTTACTGGGAGTCTTTCTGATCGCTGCTACGCATAAAGTTTTTACGACGCCTTGACTCATACGGTATTTTCGTTGACGCATGCATAAGTGTTGCAAAGTAGGCCGACTACTAGCTTATATCTCATTCACCTAAGCAAGGAATTTTGTGCTTTTTTTCAGGAATTGGGTTTGACATAAACACAGGGCGGTATCGGGGATGGCGATGATACCCTAATGTGGCTTGAGATGCTTACTTCGTGGTTGTTACTGTAGCGGCTCGTAACATTTATCAGCCTGCGCACAAGACCTACGAATTACGGTTAGCGGCCTAAGATCTAGTGAAGTAAGATAGTCTGCTATCTTCAACAGCAAAATAACAAGAGATGCTATCGCTTTACCATGATAGTGTTTGCTAATGCTGGCTCTTAGCCTTAAGGATTACAAGCTTGCTTTGTAATCCGAGAGCGCAGGTTCGAGCCCATGTAGGGATCGGGCGTCCCTTGCAGTATCCTTAGACCACATGCGACTGGTGATGGTTGCGTAGCGGCGAAGTGTCGGTACTGCATACCGACGTACTGCTGATGCCTCCTTCTTCTGTTCACTGCTTTGCTCTGCAGAGATCATTCCTCATCGATAATGAGTGAGTTACAGGTTTTTTAGGACGTTCTAACCCTAGATTAACTGTCTTGCATGATAGAGTTCTGGAAAACCATTCTAACCACCGAATAATGGATGTTTCACCAAAGATGCTGTATTGCAGACTTGCTGGTTGATGTAGGTTCGTGCACATGACTGGTACTATGAAGCACTTTCAATCGCGCTATAGATGAGATTAAGTTCGCCCAAGAACATACCACAGAGTAGGTAACGTATGTTCAATTACTCCAAATAAGGCAGGAACAGTGGAAGAGCTTGTGTACAAGTGTCACTGTAGTTACTTTCCTTTTTGCAGATACTTCCCAGACTGAAAATAGTAGGATCTCGAAGGGTCCAAATGGCTGTCCAGCAATTGCTATTGCCTTACATTTTGGATCCCAGGATAGACAAGGTAAGTGGACAGATTTCTGAAACTTGGAGTATGCAATCCCATGGTTACTTCTACTCCTACAGGCAAACGCACCACTAATTGATGATGCTGCCGTGCATGATAATAAGGTATGGTAGCATTTGCCAAATGACATAGATCTAAACGTCAAACGAAATCAAACCTACTTTGGCAAATGTGTCGTGTTATGCCGTTCGAAGTGCGACAGTAATAAGTATCTCTGAGCTAAGTGGTTTCATGGGAAGTTCTACTGTTCACTGTCTGTTAGTAGCATTGGATGTTGACCCTAAATAATTACCATGATTTTTCATGTAGACCACCGACATTCCAAACAAAGTCTGGGAAACGATCAGAATCTGATACGGATAAAGCAAATCATCGTTTATATTGAATATAGTTGGCGTCCGCGCTTTGGTGGAGATGTTACATGTGGATTAGGTTCCAATTTTTGTGTCTTCCGAAGTCTGTCTGTGTTCACTGGTCCATACGCTCTGCTTGCTTTAATGGAGTTCTGTCCCGTCTGATCTATTCGCCCTGCGTCAAGCGCAAGTACATCAGCGCTCCTGTGTCTCTCCTCTTAGTGCACATATTTCCTGTGTTCGTGGATGTTCCAGCCAGCTCGCTTTGTCATTGTGCTAAATACTAAATACTGAGAGTAGAGAGCGTGAAGAGAAAAATCCGTTTTGTTCCATCATAGGCGGATTAGGCACATGCACAGAATCACTTCACTGATTCCATGCCCAGTGGCAGCATATTACGGCTGCACTACATCTTATTCGGGTGCGATACGCTCCTTATACCTGTAGTCCGTAAAGTGGGCGTCAAACAATCTCTTAAATTCCGACACAGATTTCGCCTCGACTTGCATCTTCTACAACTTGTTACACTATTTCACTACTCGACGTTCAAAACATAGAGGGTGAGCGATGCGTTTTAAATCCGGTACCACTAGTTTGTACTGGTGTCCGTATGAGCTGCTGGATGAGCGAAGATAGAGCAGCGGCGTCAACCTAGGGAAGTGCCCCAGGTACAAGATACGGTGCATCATTATGTGATCAACTCAAAGCCGACAATATGATGGAATCTAAAACCCTAGTCTCCTACATCGGTCCTCGTACGGCATACACCGTAAACTGTGATGATTCAGGCAGCTACAAGCTGGACCCTTTCCAGTCTCTTCATCTTACTTATTGTGCTCGGACAATAGGCGGGTGAACCGCACTCAAGCACCGGTCTTATCATAGAAAAGACAGGTGGCAATCTCTTCATACAATGTGCAGAACCTGCTTCGAAGTGCCCAAAGCAGCAGGAGTTCGTTTACGTACAGTCTTGGTGTTGTCGACAGACTTCAGATCAGAACGTGAGAGTACGCCTAGCTCCCTTACGGAACTGGCAGGACGTAGCGGGTGGCCGGCCAGAGTGTACGCACGCCCATTATCAGCTCTCTCCAAGGTCTTAAACGTGGACTTGGTTGGGTTGACCAGCAGATCAACTTCTGCAAACCTCCGGGATAGGCGGTCAAGGTCCTGCTGAAGGAGGTCACAGACGCCAGCGGAATCAATAACGCTGCAAAGCTTCAAGTGGTCTGCAAACAGTGCACAGGGCGACTGAAGAAGATAAGGCAATTCGTTTACGTGGATTAGGAATAAAATAGGCCCAAGCAATGTGTCTTGGCGTACACCACTAGTTGAGTGGTACCAGTCCGTTAGGTGGTCATCCCCTGTACCCACTATCATCTTCCAATAAGGAAGTCACTGATCTACTGGTGCAGTGCGTCACCAATACCGCACATCCTCCGTTTGAGGATCAGGACCTCATGGTTCACTTTGTCGAAAACTTTACTGAAATCAATGTAGATAACATTCACTGACTTCCCCCGATTCAACGCTTGTCAGCATCCCTGACGCGTCAACAGCAAATTGGTGATGCAAGAGCGGCCCTTCATGGCGCCGTGCTGTGCCGGCGTTAGGAGATTTTTTGACTCCAACAGCTGGGGAGACCCTTTTTAACCATCCATTTGAGCACCTTGGCGAAAACACTGGTCTGACAAACCTGCTGATAATTAGCCACATTGCGCAGATCACCGCCTTTTGGAATCGGCTTCACTACTGAGCATTATTAGCTGATCTGCGATGCAGCATCGTATAACGATCTGTTGAACAGATCGGTCACACCAGGTGAGATGATGGCCGATAAGGACTTTAAAATTAGCAAGTGAACTCCATCGGGTCCTGCAGGTTTCGCGCAGCCAAGACTGGCGAGTAGACTGTGGACATCCTCTACACCGCGATCCAGTCCCTCCAGCTCAGTAGGGGCTGCACGCGTCGAGCTCGGCATAGGCACATACCCCCTTGAAATTACGTAAGCAAAGGACTCCGCTAATGCGGACGCACGTTCAGTGCTGGAGGTCAGTGGCTATCCGCAAGTGCCTTCTAACACAGCTACGTCATGCGGTCCTCAGGCGCCGCTTCACGTATACAAACTCTTCTTGGGGGCCGTCTTCGATGAGGTTGCATGCTGCTCTTCGAACTGCCTACCGTTTTGCGTTTTTGCGCTGTTGCGTGGATGCCGTTGCCTCTTGTAGGCCTCATAATCGTCGGCAGAGTCAAACACGAGGAATATATTCCACAATACGCGTCGCCGTCGAACCAAATGACTATACTCTCTGTCGAACCAATTTGGCTTCACTTTTCCAGCTTTCCGATAATTGGGGTGTACGAAACGAGCGCACAACGATTGCCCGCCCTTGTTTATAACAGACCAACAACCTTTAACCGATGAATCCTGCAGCAGCGACCAGTATACTCTACTGGCGGGTCGATTTCGAACATCGAAGTTGGTCTTGCAGTAATTGTAGGACGGCTCCAGCGGACGCGAGTAGAGCAGCGGTAACTCTAGGCTGGCTAACACCATCGAGTAGTCCCTAGCTGCCATAGGCTCCAGGACCTGGATTTCTGATACATGCTGCGCTCACCTAGTCCATAGTAGGTCCAGTCACGGTGGAGCGGAATGCGATGTAACGCGGGTCAGTTGACAAACGTGTTGTGCTGCTCCAGTTTCAAATATCCTCTCCAACTTCCCTGACTTGTGTTATGGTTCTTCTAGGTTCAACCGATCCTGATTCCTCTCTCTGTCTTGTCCACACGTGGTCAATTTGCGTCCACAACAGCTACATGGCTGCTATCTTGCTTAAACCAGATTAACCCGCTTCGCTCAAACAAGCGAATCCCACGATACAGTTCTCTCGTCGATTTCCTTCAGTGTATCTAAGTATGGTGGAAGCAACTGACTTTATTCCTTTCAACAAAATTAGGAACATTACAAGACGACTAATAACACTGTGCAGCAAATAAAAATTACTTGCTATATCAGAAATACCAGTGTCCCTATCTTATAGAATACGCTCCACTGATCGTAGAAATGTATTCCGATGTTACCTAGCGCATCAGGTTACAGTGTTATAAGCAACTCATTATTTTCACTAATGGCAAGGCTACGTCGTACGAATTATATGTGAATGTATTGAATCACCACACATACAGAATGACTCTATGTTATACGTTTGAAGCATCGGTGCAGTACTCGCCGCTAACTACCAACTGTAGCTTGGTACTGGGAAATGTTGACTTCGCCGAGATCGTCGCTTGTATTATTCAGCGCCCTCAGGCTGCAGAAACCAGCAAGTCACCCATCATGGAAGAAGTGTACTTGCAACTGCAGTGCGGCTAAATGATTGAAATGTCTTTAATCAGAGCACTCAACATGCTCATCGCTATCAGATCCCAAGTTCTCAGGGAAAAAGTCAAGGTGATTATGCAAAAGTTCATTGTGGGTGACATTCGAGCACCAGCAGCCAGACAGCCCGTAATTAGATTTTTGTGAGGCCTTTGTAGTTCTTTACTTTTGTTCTGCCCAAAAATCCTATGCACTTTGTCGTGAATGATCACCACCCTTCCAACTTAAATGAAGTCAACTGGCATTCCCAAGTGCTGTTTGCCATTATCTGGTGAACACAATGCCATTAAGTGTCCTTTCTTTGAGCTTCGTGTCACTGATCTTAGGAAGCACTTGTTTCAGGTACTCGAACGCAAAGCAATCTCGCTTGGGGGCTTTGACGAAGCTTTTACTCAAACCAGGCTTGGTGTTCAGGGGTGATATATATATATATATATATATATATATATATATTTTCGCCGCATGTTAACAGACACTGTACCATCCGAACCATGGCAGAAGAAAAAAACTGGATAAAATAGAAACACGAAATGAGATTTTAAAAAATGAAGAATGTAGTTTATGGTTTTACATAAGAAGTTTAAATTTTTTGTTTTTGTTTCGTGAGTTTTGTGTGTATTAAAGGAGGGATATAATGGTAGAACAACATTGACGTCACTGATGTCTGTTGCGGACCATGACGTCCACTGTTTTCAACCACTGAGATTCAGCATCTCGTGGTCCTCAGCCTGGAAGACGAACTGGTCCGACTGCCGCCAAACTTGAGGTTGCTTTCTTCATCCTCCTTCTCCACGTCATTGGCTGTCCCCACGGCAACTTTTCCAATCGCTCCCTGGGAGTGCAAATAGCGCTGGACGTGGACGGCGATGGACTGGAATGTGCAAAATGTACCCGAGCCAACGTATGCGATGTCGGTAAATAACATCCTGAAGACTGGCACTACTCACCCCAAGCGATCGGTCTCGGACCTCTGAGTTGCTTACGTTGTATTGCCACCACACCCAAGCAATCTTTCGTAGACAGCGATTGTCGAAGACTGATAGCCGCTTCATATCTCCCGAGCGAATAGGCCAACTCTCACAGCCGTACAAGAGTACTGCATGGACGGCATCATTGTACACTCTGCCCTTGAGCTTGAGACTGACATCACGACGACGCCAGAGGTGTCTCAGTTTGATGAATGCAAGGCGGGCCTTTGCAATCCGTTGTGGGACTTCATCTCAAACACCGCCATCAGCCGTGTTGCAACTCCTTAGATAAGTGAAGCA